GGCGCGGCCCCGAAATGCCCCACCATAGCTACAGGCCCAGGTCACCTGCTCATTTATGCAGGGATAAAGTGTACAAACATGATCCATGGGCACAAGCATGGAGGGGCAGAAATTGAATCAAAGGCATACCCACTTGCCCTTGAATTAGTTTCAGAAATTGACACTTCTACAGGCAAGGAAGAATTTATAAAAAAACTTGATGTGGTATTTCCTCAGATATATACTGCAATCTATTTTATACACTAAGATATAAATAAAACATTTTATCTCGTTAAATTATTTTAGTTATTTTTAAAAAACACAGTTGATTTCCATATGGCATTCTCAGCCTGATATCAGGAATTATCCCTAGGCTATTCCTGTTACCAGACATTAAATAACCAGCTTTAGAAAAACTTCTGCAACTGGTGCTCCACTGTACTGAAAAGCAGGATAAAAATTTGCAAAATAAAGCAAGTGGCATAACAAGAAAGGCAGCTTTATGTTTTGATTTGAGGAAAACTTAATGTGCTCTCTTGGGTTCTGCTCTCAGACCCAAGTGATCGTGGGCAAGTCACAACTTGCATGCCAGGTTTCCTCTATTGCAAGCATGGATCACTGCTTTTCAAAACAGAGAACAAGCTTCAGTCAAATGAAAGAAGAATTCCTGGGGCTTATCCATGAATTTCTGTCCTTGATTGGAATGTCATCTAGCTTGAGGAAGAGGGCTCTCCTCGGCTGGGCCAATAGAACAGCCTTAAACTAGAAAAGGCAGTGATCCCCTCACAGCCAACACTGGAACGTAGTGTGTTCTTATTTATTTATTTATTGATTGATTGATTTATACCCCCGCCCTCCCAATGGCTCAGGGCGGCTTACATATGGCAAAACCAGAGTAAAATACAATAAAACACACAATAAATTACATATTTAAAACACAATAAAACCATCTTATCACACGGTGCTGAGCCTATATTTAATCTTCCAAGATGGGAACAACCACCCAAATTTGATGGCCAGCTCTCTCGGCAACGCGGTCTCCTGCTACGCTGTTCTACCAGGCCGGGCCAGTCCCCCTTTAACAGGGCTGCTGATGTCACACTACCTCTTAATGGATAGCTGTAGGGAAGAGATAAATTTAAGCCATACGAGAAGAAGGGATGGAAAGCAGTGTACGTGGCAACTCCTCTGTTGTGGGTCACCTAGGGCTCAGTAAGAGCACGGACTCCTCAGAAGAACAGGAGCCCTGTAGCCAGCTCTGAGTCAGCAGAAGCTGACAAGCAGGAAGGTGAGCTGCAGGCTTGTCAGGATTCACAGCCAACGGCTGGTGCAGAACCAGCGACATCATCCAGCCCTGATGCAACAGGTGAAATTCAGTTGAGTGTTTCCAGCTCTCCAGTATCACCCACACCCTTAGAGCACCACAGACAAAGAAGAAACAACAAAATGCATGCCTCCTGGCCCAATGCCAGCTGCTTGAGTCACTACTCCCAAGCAGCTGGTTGCAAGCATGACTCTTAAGCATATGGCTATGAAAACCAGCCAAGGGAGGCTGTTAAGCGTGGAAGCAACAACTTGGAATTCTTCTGAGTCCACTGTACTGGTGCCTACCTCTACTTTGGTAGACTCTACTGACTCTTTGGATTGTGTCCTGACTCTGCCTTTAGCTTGCTCCTGAATCTGCTCATGAGTAACCCTTGGATTCTCAGAACTTGCTGTATGGACTGACTCTTGGACTACACTTCTGACTCTGTGCTTAACCTTGGACTGGACCTTGACTACGGTTCTTGAGTTGGTGCTCTTGTCTTATGCACTCTGTGCTCTGACAGTGCCCCCTATACTGTTCCCGGCCTGTGACATCCTCTTGTTGTCCTGACCTCCAGAGAGATGCGCAAGTTAGTGCAGATAGATCTTTTGTGGCAGCACTCTGTGCTCTGACAGTGCCCCCCTATACTGTTCCCGGCCTGAGAGATGCACAAGTTAGTGCAGATAGATCTTTTGTGGCATCTTCTAGACCTGCCCGCCCCCCCATTGTAAGAACACTTGCCATTTGCAGGAGCAGTGAGTTCCTTGGCTCATCTAACTGCTGGGCCTTTGTGGCAATCTTCCTAATTCTGTTTGGTGTAGTGGTTAAGTGCGCGGACTCTAATCTGGGAGAACCGGGTTTGATTCCCCACTCCTCCACTTGCACCTGGCTGGATGACCTTGGGCAAGCCGTAGTTCTGATAAGAGCCGTCCCTGAAAAAGAGCAGTGTCTGTCAAAGCTCTCTCAGCCCCACCTACGTCACAGGGTGTCTGTTGTGGGAAAGGGAAGGGAAAGGAGTTTGTAAGCCGCTCTGAGACACCTTTGGGTAGTGAAGGGTGGGGTATAAATCCAATCTCTTCTTCTTCATCTACTTTATTTATACCCTGCCTTTCTCCCAAGCGAAGACCCAAAGCAGCTTCCATCCTTCTCCCCTCCTCCATTTTAATGTCACAACAACTCTGCACAGTAGATTAGGTTCAGAGCGTGTGATTGGCCCAAGGCCACCCAGCAAGGCTCCGCGGAAGAAGGGATTCAAAGCTCCCAGGGTCCCCCAGGTCCTAGTACAGAACTCTAATCACTACACCACACTGCAATCTGAACTGCACTTCCGGAGGGAAGACTTCAACTGAAATAGTTCCCACATCTTTTGGCTTTGTGGGGAGCTGTTTGCCTTCCTGCATATAGACCAAAACTGTAGCATAAGGAAATGGGTAGCATAAGATGAAGCCTATGTGACAGGCTGTTTCTGTCAACTGAGGGGACCCACACAGCCTCCTATGATTTTGGGGGGACCAGGTTTATTTTAAACTATAAACCTTCCCCTCAGTTACCAGGTGTTCTAAAGGTGGCGAGTGTCTAGGCTTTGCACTTGCTGCTGTGAGGTAAGTTTTGTGGTGCACAAGTGGAATATGGTGGTCACTGAGGCAGGTATTCTATATTAACAACAAAGAAGATTTATTTATTATTTGCAAGTAGGTTTCCAGGAACAGGTCAGCAACACGGGTCTCCAGGTAGTCAAAAGAGAAACCTGGCTGAGGCTCATTCATTTACAGAGTAGTTTCAATTTCCTTTAATACTTCCGAACATAAACAGGCTTTCACCAAATAGCCACTGGGTTGGATCCCCCCCCCCACACGATTCCACTCGCACCGGCCTGCCCTCTCCCAAGAGTCAGGTCTGCTCACTGCCAGAGACAACAGGCCTAACAACTGGGTACACTATTCTCTGTCAGAAGTAGAGCCAAACCACTCTGCCGAACTACCAAGCAGAGCTACCCCTTCACTCTTCTCCCGAGCCAGACCTGAGCTCTCACTGCTCCCTCCCTGAGGCAGAACTGAACTCAACTCCTGCTGTGTTTCCCTCCAACATTCCTCCCCGCTTCTCAAAGGTGACTGGATGCTGGAGCAGCACTCCCATAGACTCAAGTGAGTGGCTATTTTTCCCTTCCCATTGCAGCCTATTCTGCAGCTGGCCAGGTGAGGGGGCTGGAATTCTCAGCAGCTCACACTAGCCACGGGACTGCTCCAGTAGGAAGAGATGGTGTAACTCAACAAGCACAATGGAAGGTGTTTATACAGCAACAGCCTGGGTGTATACCTTACAGTTCTTCCTGCTACAGGGAGAGTCAGAAGCTGCTCAGGAAAGCTCAGAGCTCCAGTACTGAGCAAAAAGATGTGGAAGAAGGTTGCTAAATGTCCTAAGCTCTGACTCCACTCTTCACACTTTCCTTCTATCTCAGGAGCCCACCTGCTTCTACAAAGGCAGGAGAATTTCTGGGGCTGAGAGGAGAAGCCTCTCCCCTTCTGGAAGAGGAGCATAAACCCCAAGCTAGATGCCCTCCTGTTGTGATTGACAACATAATCTACAGCTTCTGTTTATGCAAGAAATCTGTACAGTGCTTTAGATATACACCCTTGCTTATCACTTCCAAGTTCATTTAGGACAATGCATATTCGCAGTGACTGAGAACTCCACCCAAATTTACATAGATGGAAAAAAGAGATAATGATCCTATTGTTTGCCATTAATATTTGACTTGAGGTAAGCAAAATCGCCAAGAGTCAGACATGACTGCATGGCTAACAACAACAGTAAAGATGAAGGTAAAGGTTTCCCTTGCTCGAAAGCTAGTTGAATCCGACTCTAGGGGTCGGTGCTCATCTCCATTTCCAAGCTGAAGAGCCAGCGCTGTCTGAAGACGTTTCTGTGGTCATGTGGCCGGCATGACTAAATGCCAAGGTGCACGAAACGCTGTTACCTTCCCACTGAAGCAGTACCTATTTATCTATTATCTATTTATCTACTTGCAATTTCTTGCTTTCGAACTGCTAGGTTGGCAGGAGCTGGGACACGCGGCACTAGGGTCATGCGGCACTAGGGTCTCAAACTGCTGAACTACAAACCTTCTGGTCTGCAGCTCAGCATCTTAACCTCTGAGCCACTGTGGTGGCTAAAAGCAAGACCACAGCCTCTAGTTAACTGGGGGCTCTGCTTAGTCCTCATGTCAGTCTCCAGTTAATCCCTGCAATAGACAAAGGAAACCAGACTGAAGCAATTACTCTTTATCAAAGATAACTGATTACATAAACAAGCCTGTAGACACACAAAGGTTCCCTTGCTCGAAAGCCAGTCGAGTCCGACTCTAGGGTTGCGGTGCTCATCTCTGTTTCAAAGCCGAAGAGCCAGCGCTGTCCGAAGACGTTTCCGTGGTCATGTGGCTGGCATGACTAAACACCAAGGCGCACGGCACGCTGTTACCTTCCCACCAAAGTGGTACCTATTTATCTACTTGCAATTACTTGCTTTCGAACTGCTAGGTTGGCAGGAGCTGGAACTAGAGACGGGAGCTCACTCCGTCATGCGGCACTTGGGTCTCGAACTGCTGAACTACTGACCTTCCACAGCCTGCAGCTCAGCGTCTTAACCACTTGAGCCACCGCAGCTCCTCAGTCAAACACAATTTGGTCAAGAGTCAATCTCTATATTTTATACTCACTGGCGAAAAGCTCCCATGGTATTTTCCAGATTCTCTCCAGCACCTGTGGGAGTATGCAAAAGACAATTTAAAGTGATGTTAACTGGTGATCACTTTCTTTAAGCAGTTGATGAACAAAGCTAGTGTTTAAAGAGCTTCATGGGGAGTAACTGAATTCTGGAGATGTGAATTGCAAAAGTTACCCATCAGTGACTCTCAGTGTATATTTATTTACAGGAAGTTTCATGAATTCTGTGCTCTTCTTTCCCCATTGTGAGAAGAATACTTACACAGGAATAACTTAGCTATACCTTGGGTTGTAGGACAAAGGTAAAATAGCATACCTGCCTTCATCGCAGAAAGCTTCTTCCACACACTTATAAAAGTCACATGCCACAATCACAACTGGCCAGATATGTAAATACTGCTTGCAATACCACCTAGCTTCATTACTATACTGCACTGTACTATCCTGAACAACTAGTCGGCTTCAACAAAAAGAACATTTTAATCTTCCAAGTCATTCTGTTGCTGACCTAAGAGGGGCTGTCCTCAAACAAAGAAATTTCAGGGGAAATCACAACACAAGATTGCTGAACTTGAGTCAATTCACAAGTTCGGAACAATGGACTCCCCCAAGGCTGAACAGGGACACAGGATTCTTATCTCACTACAGAGACTAATTTTCTGCCCCCAAGCATGTCCCCTCTGCTCCAACCAAGCTAATTACAGTGTGCATTGTACTTCTGCATCCTTTACAACACCCCTCCTACCTTAAATGAACTCAGAGATCTCCTTTTCTATTCATGTCTGACAAAGGGATCGAAAGCATATACCCTGAAACTCTTGTTGGTCTCTAAGGTGCTACCGGACCAATATGGCTACCCTCTGCAACTTTCAATAAGAAGGTTTTCTTTTCTTAATTAATCCTTATAATTCCCTGCACACCCTGTGCCAAGTCAGAGTCACGGGTGTCACAAATCTTTGCCAGTTACCAGTCACTGCAGTAAGACATACAACCAAAAAGGGGGGGGGAGAGAGCAAAATAAGCCCCGTGCAAAGCTGTTCTGCAAGGTGGATCAATGCCAGCTTATAGCCACTTGATATGCAGTCTAGGCGGTAGCCAAAGGAGAGTCACAGTATTATTTACTTTCATGTCTCAGACATACAATGCTTCTGTTAAATGTATGTAATTCTGCAGATTCAAAAGTTATCCTAGACCGCAAATTTACTGTGACTAACTTTCTGCAACTGAGGCAGGCCTTCATCCTTTTCCCTCGTCTTATCAACAACAAAATCTACAGCAGCTGGAGATCTCTGGACACAGGGAACTTATCAAAACTATTCCATGTATACCCACCAGGAATCTGGTACATTCCTGAAAACCTAATATAAGGAATTTTTTCCCCCTCAGAAGCCCCCAAACCTTGTTATGTGTGAAATACTGGTAAACACTTGTGGGAATCAGACAAGAGTCCAGTGTGCTGTCTTTAGGAAAGAGGGCTGTGGGAACCAAGTGCTCTAAAAGGCCAAAATAAGACAAGCACAGAAATGGGACACATGGAAATCTCTAGCTACAAGCAGCCGGGGAAAAACTGGTAGCATTTACTTTGGGGTGCCAGCCTCTGGGTGGGACCTGGGAATCCCCTGAAATTACAGCTCATCTCCAGACTACAGAGAAAAGTTCCCCTGGAGAAAATGGCTGCTTTGGAGGGTGGACTGTATGTCATTGAACCCCTGACATCCTTGTCCTCCCTAGGCTCTGGATCTGGTAACCCTACCCCCCCATCCCCCACTGGTAGTCAGGGGTGACCTGGCAACTTGTATTCTAAGAGTCTGCAACAAAACATGAAATGTGTTAATGCAAACGGGAGTGTTGATGTAAAGAGTTATAAGGTCGGCTCCTATCCTACAAGTTTGTTGCCTCCCATATAAATGAAAGGCATCCGCTCGCTCTGATGGCACTGTACCTAGAAAGAGTATTGCAGTGAAGGGGGGAAAATCCTTACTCTCCACTCTGAGGTGGTATTAAGAAGGGGGGCACAGAAAAAGCATCGATGTAGCATACTCCCCCCCCCCATTCAAACTGTCTCCTACTCACACCATACCAAAGAGCCATAGTGACAGAGAAGGAAAAAAGGATACACAGAGGGTATTTTCCTGAATCAATACGAGGTGCAATAGTAATCCAGGCAGTTTATTACAGAAAATAAAGATAAGAACAGAGCACAAAGGATCAGATGTGGCACAGTAAAAAAAGAAAGAAAAGAAAAGCTACCTATGAACTAGGAGGATTACATCCCTCCTGTCCTGTTTCCGCTCCCTGGAAAAAATTGGAAATTTGGAGTAAGTTGTTGTAAACCTACTCTCTTACCAACCTTAAACTTATTTTACTATTTTAACCACATAAGATGTATCAGTTATAACCTGGCTGGCATATAAAATTGTAATACTTGGCATATTTATTAAATTTAATTTTCTACAAGGGAAATTGGAAGTATACCCCAGCTATATACAGCTAGACAACCGCAAACTATGGCACCCTTTATTGCATTAATTTTTGCCACCTGAGAAGTACTAAAATAAGAGCTGAAATCAGGAAACATCAATTTTGTAGTGAACAAACATATACATATAATTTGGACAGAGGCTGTCTCAGTCATAATAGGGAGACTACCAGCATATTTGGATACCGAGTTAGATTTTGTAATGCTGGAAACCCTGAACTCTTCAATACTGTTTATCTTCATATACAATTACAGCATATCCATTGTGGACAAATAAGTCCCATTTAAATAATAAGCATGACCTTAAATATATTTGTGTCGAGAATACATGTAGGAATCACTCCCTAATATTGTAGATTTTTAATGTACAACAATCTTTATGCTCTGAAAACCTTCAAATTTGAGTTTACTATGCCTAGTGTTTCCCATGCTTACACAGGAAAACAAGAAGGTTGGTACCATGCAACTCAAAGCTGAAGAAATTAAATAGACTGGCTAAATCTTTACAACAGTAAGCTTAAGCTTCAGTGTGACACAACTTTAGTACTTTTCGAATCCCCATAGATATTTCTCCCTTTGCAAGCTGGCAGAGAAAACTTTTCACTTTCATAAGCACTTGGGGTCCTGTAGAAGGCTACTCCTGACATTAAAAATGGCTTGCCTTGACAGGCCTAAAAGAGATGACACCACTGGTCATCAGCTGGCACTCCCAGCTCAAACCAGTCCAACACACCATCCTGGATAATAGTATTTTTCTTTTCACAGGCCTTTGGTGGTAGGCCTTTCTTTGCTTACCGACAGATCCTAACCTAAAACAGCTCCTTGTCAACAATGGTGGGCCACCTAACAGAGACACAAACCCAGGGACCAAAACAACAAATCTGCTCCCATACTACTACAGGGCCCTGTGACATCAGATTTGTTGTTTTGGTCCCTGGGTTTGTGTCTCTGTTGGGCTTGGACTCACCCACTTGCCTGTCCTCCAATGCAATACCATGAGTCAACAACATCCTGCTCTCTACACAGGGCAAACAGGTCAGTTTCGATGCAAAAATAAATAGATGCAAATCTGACATTCAAAATTACAACACTCAGGATACATCATCAGAATTCAATCTCATAACACTACTTCTCACCTCAAAGTCACAATCCTTCTGCAAATTCAATTTCAAACAGAAGGTCCAGCACATGGAAGACTGAACCAAGATAAATAAGCAGCCTGTTTCTGTCTCTCTCATTCCTTCTAAGCCTGGCCACTTTGTTGGTCAGGAAGGATCATAAAGGAAACAATCCAGATATGAAGTAATATAAAATGATGGCAAACTCTTGAAAGTGCTGTGTGGGCACAAGCCTTACTCAAGCCCACAGAACCTGTCCAACACATACATAAGTGCTTTGAGGTATAGTCTAATACAAGAAGGTTTATTTTGTTTCTAAACACTGCACCCTAAAAATTAAGACACCACTTTAAATCAATTGGCAAATAATTGTGTGTAGGATGCTGGGAGCTCAGTCACTACCACTGCCCTTTTGAAGCAAATACATGAGAGTAAAACTGTTATCTGCTCCACTAGGGCAAGCTTACGGGTACACTTAGCAGTGCTGCGTGTTTTCCAGAGAGGAAAACAGTATTTCCACAGGGCCATTTCAGCTCAGGAAAAAGGAGGAAGGTTGAACCCACTCTCCCTTCAGGCATCCATGTGCCTGCTTCTAAAGAAAAAAGCCAGGGGCTCCATTCACAAAACTCCCAGTATCATACCTTGTTTGACCCTCTTAAGATATCAGTTGCATGCAATAATGCCTTACAGTTAAGAACTGACCAAAGGAGAAAGGGGGAAATGTCTTGACATTGTAGTGGAGAGCTTGATGAAAATGTCTACTCAGGATGGGATTGTGCTGAAAAAGAAAAACTTCATGCTGGGGAAGGAGATTGAAAATAAAATGACTAATATTGTAATGCCCTTGTATAAATAAATATACAGAAATCTCACTTGAAGTACTGGGTACATACTTGTGCCATATTATTTAATTGGGTTTCTATCCTGCCTTCCCCTGAGCAGCAGGGCTCAGGGAAGGTTACAGCAGACAATTATAAAACAGTTAAAAATTAAAACATAATTCCACAACGTTAGAACCTATTCGACAGATGACACAACTCACAAGATGGCGATCAGGTACAGTTAACAAGGGCTCCCAAAATACTACATATCTCAAAAGAATCATTGTACATCTGGAAAACACATACAAAATGGCAACGAAGATGCTTAAGGAATCAGAACATCTTTCCTATGATCAAGCATCAAAGAGTATGGTTTTTTTCATTTAGAGAAGTGACAGTTAAGGGGGGAATATGAAATGAATTTATAAAATTATGTACAGGCAGAGCAAGTGGATATAGGAAACACTCCCCCCCACATAAGATTAGATCTTGGAGGGCACCCAATGAAATTGATGGACAAAAGATTTGAGATGAACAAAAGGAGATACTTCAAGGGCAGTACTGTCTGCTCAAACTGGCAGCTGCTCTCCAGGATCTCAGCTAGATCTTTTTAGTTGG